TTAAAGTATCAATCAATTAATAATATTTTTGTATAATCATAAACATAATTTTATTACATTATTTTTATATTTGCTTTATTTATATATGTTTTTTTTGTTTATATATATATCTTATTTATATATAACAATAAATTCTATTTAACAAAAAAGTAAAAAATATAAAAAATATTTATTAAATAAATTATTAGAAATTTTTAAATAAATAAAAATGTTTAAGAATTGACATGTCATAGTCAAATCAGAAACTGTGATAATGACTAATGATAATGATGTCATTGATTTAATTATTTGATATTATAATTATAATTTTAATTTCGATTTATTTTTATAGTTTAATTTTTTTATTTTAATTTTATATTCAAATGAAAAAATTAATTTATCAATTTCATAATAGATAGTGCTAGAATCGCAGGTATTGATCTCTACAAACTTTCATATCTATATTTCATTAGATCATGCAATCAGCTGATTAGAATTGGACTTAAACGGATATTATAAATTTGTCAAAAATTTTTTTGTATTTTCATCGAACATGACTTTTTTCAAAGAAAATAGCAATGTTTTGATAATTCTAGGTAATGATATTTCTAATGACAACATCGTAGACTTTATCAGTGCAATTCAAAAACGTCTCAATCATGCGGAACAACTTTCAATTGTGTCAACAAAAGAATTGAAAAAATGTAAGTACATAAATATTTTTAAATATATTTACATCAATTTTATGTAATAGTTATTTTTTTCGTTATATTTTTTTGTTTTTTTTTTCAGGTATCAATTCTTCTATTTATGATATAATTATTTTTATTTTTAAATTATCATATGCAAATATTAAAATATTTCTAGAAGAATCTTTACGATTGTTAAAACCAGAAGGTATATTAATTATTTATGAATCATGCCAACAACAAGAAAATGTATATTCTATTTTTGATGAAAGAGTATCTAGTTTGAAATTGAGTGGTTTTAAAGTAAAAGCGCAAGAATCTTTAGATACAAAACAGTTAAAAAATCTTTTACTAAATGTATACAATAATATTGATAATATTTTCGAAATAATAGCAGAAAAACCTTCATTTGAGGTAAGTTATATTTTTTTTTCATAAATTTTTTCATATTTTAATATTGTTTTATTTAGATAGTTTTTATATTTATTATATTTCCAATTTATATAGATTGGTTCTAGTGTAACACTTAATTTTGGAGAAAAAAAATCTTCTAATATATGGAAATTAGATAGTGCTGTTGATGAAGAATTAATTAATGAAGATGATCTTTTAGATGAAAGTGATATTGTCAAACCAATAATTAATAGTTTACGAGGTAAGTTAAATTCTAAATAAAAAAATATTCTATATATATATATTATAGTTAAAAATTATTTGTTTAAATATAACATTAAATAAACATTTTAAATAAATAAATCTTTTAATAAAAATAATTTTATTATTTGTTAATTTTTAGTCAAATTTAAATTTTATTCAAAAATTTCTTATTCAAATTATTAAATATATAAAAATATTAAAAAAATATTAAAAATATATAAAAATATTCTTTCTTTTATTCAAAAACTCTTAAATAAATTTTCTTGAAAAATATTAAAAAAAAATTATTAATTATTATAATTTTTTTTAGTATGTAGTACAACAGGTAAACGAAAAGCTTGCAAAGATTGCACTTGTGGCTTAGCTGAAGAATTAAGTGGAAAAAGTGCAACAGAAGGAACTGTAAAATCTTCATGTGGAAATGTGTGTAATTTATATTTTTTTTTTATCTTAAAATCTTAAAAAAATTTAAATAAAAATAATATATTTTTTTTTTTAGTGCTATCTTGGTGATGCTTTTCGATGTGCTAGTTGTCCATATCTCGGTATGCCTGCGTTTAAACCTGGTGAAAAAGTAGTTTTACCTGAAAGTCAATTAAAAGCAGATTAATGAAATATTTGTGAGTTATATATATTCTATTTTTATAATCATTTTTTGCATGTAATTATTTTAATAACAATTTTTAATGTTGTTAATTCATATTATTTTCACATTATTATTTCTATTATCATTTTTATTTAATGTATAGGATCTTTTCTTTTATTTATTTTCATAAAAAATGAAAAAGTAGTATAATATACATAAAAAAATTTAATGTAGTTTAAAAGTTATGCAATAAAAATATAAAAAGATATATATTAGTCTTAATTATTTTTATTACATTTTCATTGTATACAACAGCAATCAACATATTAATCATAATAGAATGGTACAAAATATTCGAAATTTTGGTATCTTTCAATAATATTGATAAAGTATAAAAATAATGAATAATTTAAGAATTGTTTAATTACTAATAATAATATACCAATGAAATTTTTTTCTTTTTATTGTTGAAACAACTGTTAAAATTCTTTTGATACATTATTATCTATATCAATTAAATTAAGTACAAACACAAAAAGAGTAAAAAAATAAAACAATTTAGCTATTTATAATATATCTGTGAAAAATTTATTTAGGAATGTAAGCCTTTCACAATAAATTCACTAACCCTCCTCTGGGGATGAGTGTTCGAGGAAGGACTACATTCCAAATAGTATTTAATATATATTTTACTTGTATCATTCTATTTGAACATATTTTGGAATTTAACAAATGATACAAATATTTTATATAAAATTGATTACTAAATTATTATATAATTATAATTATTAATAATATAAAATAGTGACATTGTAAAGGACAATGGTCTTTAAATTATATTATTAATTATATGGTATATAGGAACAAAATAAATCGTCATGTTCTTTGCTTCTACAACAGCAGGAACATTACTTCTCATAAAATAGAAGTACATATCAAAAACAAATAATGAATTATTTATATCATAATATTGGTATTTCATGTTTATAACCGAATTTAAAATAGCTCATAGCTGTATTATATCTTTTATGTCCATAAAAATTACTGCCATGCAATAATTGCCTTTCTGTTTCATCTATTTAATACAATTTCATTTGGTGCAAAAAAGACATACTGCTATCAGTATGCTACTATTATTATTATATATGTGAAATTCTAGAAACTTAATCATATTATTTTAAGATAATATTTCGAAATTATACTATTATACTTAATATTGATAATTTTATACAGAATCTCTTTCTCTCACTCTCTCACTCTCTCTTTCTCTCTCCTCTCTTTGGTATAAATTTAAATTTATGTTTTAATTAGCTACACATTATAAAATGCTAGCTATCATTCGTAAATAATTGTATAATTTAAGTACAAAGAGAGCGATAGAAAGTACAATTTGATTTTAATTTTTTGGAAGCAATAAAACAGAAAATATAATATAATAATTTCAAACAGATTCCTCCTGTTTTATTGTATTTTGTATAGTTACTTTTACTTAAATATATAACAATTTGTACTTTATTTCGAAAACCAAGAGATTATGTAAAATCTTTCAGTCTGCAAACGAATTTCAGCACGTTTGTTGTACTTTCTATGGATGTATAAACGTCCATTAATTTAAATAATGTTTTTATTATTATTTAAAATTGTAAATAACTAATTTATAGAAATGGATTACAGATTTTCTGTTATTTATCATGTATAAGAATTTGCATAAATATGCAAAACAATGTTATATAAAATCTTTATAACAACCTTAATCGCTCAAAAAACAAAATAACTCATTAATTTTAAAGTTAAAATTTTCTAAAGTCATCCAAATCACATTATTTTTCTAAAATTCTCTCATAAATACAAAAAATTTTTATCAATATTCTTTTTTGATTCAAAATTATTTATAAAAAAAAAATATAAATGAAATAAGAAATAACATAATTTAATGTTTAAAAATAAAGTTCAATGATGGTTTTAACTTGAAACATTCATTTTTTTTTTTTTTCATAAACAAAATATATAACATAATGTTCATAATAGTTTTGTAATCTAGATTTTTTAAAATTGTACTCATTGTTAATAATACATTGAGCAATCACTAAGCCTAGCAATTAAGGCATATTTTATGTACCCTTTATTTGCACTCAGAATTAATATAGGATGTTATTTTTTTTAATATATATTTTGTTACTATTGAAATAGTTTCAAAAAATGAATAAAAGTAAACAAGGAATAAATTAAAGAACTAGGAAATATTACTAACAAAGTATTATATAAAATTTGTATAAATTTTATATATATATATATATATCTACTACTTATACACCAAGACATTTCAAAAATGCCATGGAACTTAAGATTTTTGTTTTTTTTATGAAAAATATATAATTGCATATTTTTAAAAAAAATTGATAATTCTTTTAATAATTAGATGAAATCATCTTTATATGAACACAGCCCTACATGTTATTTAATGTAATAAAAATTAAGAGTCTTCGAAAAAGACCTTTGGCTTTCTTCTTTTGACTGTATCATCATCATGATGTTCTTGTATCTCATAAGCATTGTTATTAAATATAACAATAATACTACAACGTTCTGCGGTATGTACAGACGTGTAGTTCTGCGAAGTTAAACTTTCCATAAATTTTTTATTAACTCCACAAAATCTTCGCCAATCAACATATCGAGTTATTAGTTTATGCTACCATGAATTTTCTTCCATATTATCGAGCAAAGAATTTTTTTCTTCTTTCTTAGAACCATTTGTTCCCGGCGCCGTTGCACATAATTTTGGTTCGAAACATGGCTGTAAAAAATAAAAGTTTAAATATGAATCCGATAGTTTGCTTCGAAATTCTGATGTAAAGCATGATAAAAAAAGATAAATTTTTATAAACTCTTTAAATAAATATAATTTTTAATTTAAAAAATAACGATTTAATTACACTTTTAATTTTTTAAAAACATTTTTAATTTTTAAAATTCTTGCAAATAATTGATATCTTACAAAATTAAATTTGAAATAAATATAAACTTTTAAGGATTAATCTATATATAAATAAATTATATAAAATAGTTTATATAAAAATAAATAAGTTATGTTGTAAAAGTTATGTTTATATTCAAAAAAAGATATTGAGCATATTCATACTAAAGTATTAAAAATATTTTCCTTATAATATTATTTTGTAGAAAGGTTACTATTAATTCTGAATAACTGTTTTATATTAAAAATTATTTATTTGTTCAAAACTTAAAATTCTAGTAATACAAGTTGTTTTAAATTCATAATCATTAAATTTCATACTGCAACATGGAGCATCGCATAATGATGATGATTATATATTTTTTAAATGAATCTATTTTAATATCCCAAAATCTTAACAAAAACTGTATAACAATTTATATCAGTTCATGCATAATAAGATATTAATCAAGATGTAAACAAAAAATTATTACAATTAAATAATGAAATTTTTATCGAAATGGCATTCAAGTTAGTAAAAAAGTAAATATGCAATTCTTTTTCAATATTTAAATATTAAATATTCCAAATATAATTAAAAGCATTCTTAATGTAATTAAATAACAAGCATTATAAATTTAAAAAATTAGAAAATAGCAATGTTATTATTTTTTTGTTTTTGTTTTGCATTTAAAATTTTTCTTAGGAGAAAGAGAAACAATCTGTTTAATTGAAATTCTTGTGTTTGTGTTCTATACCTTTGATTTTATTTTTAAATCTTTAACTGTTTCTTTTTCTCTGAATATATATATAATTGCAATATTTATTTAATACATTTTTAATTCATTGCATATATTATATGCTCATGCACGCAAATAATTTTTATATTTTAGTTGGTAAATCACTCACAGTTTCACAGATATTCATGTTGCAGCAGTTTTCTATGGTTATTTCACATTGATTATCCGGCAGCTGTGGTCGAGACGTGAGCGGCGTCACACCGCCTTTGCTGACGACGAAACGTTTTTTGATACGTGGTCGTTTTCGGAACTTATTTACATAATAACTAAGTACAATTATCACGAGAGCAAGTATGCCAATGAATGCACCAAAAATTGGTAATAATGTTCTATATTCGTCTTCTTCTTCTTTAACTGTCACTAATTGTGCACCTTTTTCATTTCTTTCAGCACATCTATTAACAGAAAATTAATCTGAATTCATTTCAAATGAGAATTTTTAATCTTAAATCATATATTGATTAAACTTCATTAATAAAAAAATTTTATCAAACTATGATTAAAATTATTTTTATACTAATCCTTAAATAATAGAAAATTCATTAATTAAACAAATTATGTTCAATGATAGCTTTATACACAATTATAATGATACATATGAGTGAATATATAAATCTATAAAATAATTTAAAAATTTGATTATGTGCACTATGTTCTTAAAACCGTAATTTTTAATTATTAAAACTTTTAATATGAAATATGAAATTATTATAATAATTATTTTAATTGAAATTGAAACAGATTAAGAATTCAAAACTTTTTCAAACTCTTATGAAATTAAAAGTTTATCAAAGCGATATACCTGCACTTAGCGTTACGAGAAACGCTAGTAGGAACTGGTTCCATGTTTGCACAAAATATTTCACAAAATTCAATTACATTGTTTAAAATCTCACAACGAGATCCTTCAGAATATTTACACTTACAAACTGGTTTCTCATTTAGGACGGAACATTGACCATCATGCAAACAATAGTCTTTGCATGGATCTGTTTCACATCTTGGTCCAATAAATGTACTATTGCACTTACAGATGGGTAACCCATTAATGTTTATACTGCAGCTGCCTTGTAAACAATAATTATGACAAAAATCCGTCTCGCAATGTGCTCCAGTGAATCTGAAATAATTTAATTCATATTTAGTCTTAATTTTACATTATACAATTTAGAATTTAATTTTTAAATTTCATATCATATTATCCATATTTATGTTATTAGATATTTACCCAGATTTACATTGACATGTTCCTTCTTTTTCGTTCATAAGACCATTATTCAAACAGTATTTGATTGTTTCAGTAGTTATTTCGTTCATTTCTTCTGTGCTAGTTGTCAAATTATTAGATGATTCACGAAGCGGTATTGTGATCGTCGTACTAATTTTTGATCTTTTTTTGCAATCTATTTTGCCAACATTATCACGCGTTAAAATCCCACTTGGTGCAATACCAGGATGCGACTCATGATACGAACGAAACTTAATCATTGAACTTTCATTTTTCCCGTCTTTTGGCATTCTCCAAATAGCTCTTTCCGTGATATCGTTCCAATATATCGAATCATTATCTAATGCCAAATGAACTGGTTGATGACGTTTAGGTTGAATCAAATATTCACGTTCAGAACCATCGAGATTACTACGCTCGATTTTAATTCGTATGCCTTCAATATCGTCGATCCAATAAAGTTTCTCGTTGACGTGATCTATAGCGATAGCTAGCGGATCATACAAATTTTCGTTGATTATGGTTGTTTGATTACTTCCGTCTAAATTTGATCGTTCGATACTTGAATATGAATTATTATTATTTGTCCAGTATATGTGCCTATATAATATAAATAATGTATAATTATCAGTTTTTATATTTTTTTTCATATATATGTATATGATAAATATTTTTCTTTTTTTCTTTTCTTATTTCTATACAATTTAATTTTTTGTATTCTTATTTAATTTCGTTATGTTTCAGGGAGATTTTTTTTCTTTTACTTGATATGAATTTCTAAATGGAATTTCTAAACTGATCTAAATTGCCTGTTGTGAATGATCATGGTAATATCTATGTAGGATATAAAATAGCACACCTGTTACACACATCCAGAGCGATACCACACGGATTTAAGCTAGTTAAATTATGGAGCACCTTTGCTTCTTCCAGTGATCCATCTGGTAATATATGCATCTTCATAATCACTTCTTGTAGAATATCACTCCAAAATAGAGTTTGCGTTTCTACATCAAAGGCAAGTGTCAAGATGAGACTCTTATTTCGATCTGGGAATAGAAAAAATATCGTTTGCATATTATAAATATTTCTTTCAAAAATATGATTTTAATTTAAATGTAAAAATAAATTTAAATTTATTTTTATATTGAATTTCTTAATGTAAGAAATCGAAAAAAATATTCATATTATTGATGATATAATATAAATATTCTTTAATTTTTTTTTTAAATAAAAAATCTTTAAATATATATATAATTTGAATTTATTAAAAAAAATTTATTTTTTTACTTTAAGGAAACTTTTTTTAATATATAATATTAATATATAATATATATATTNCAAAAGGAATATTTAAAATATAAATTATTCAATATATAAATTATGAATATTTCTATTAATATTAAAGTTCAATTCAAAAATTAAAAATATTTTAAAAATAAAAAATATCCAGAAATATGTATGCTTTTTATGCATGCATAAAAAAAATAATTATATAGTAATAAAAAAAAAAATAATAATAGTAATATAATTACTTTTATGTAACGGTTTTAACGTAAAATTCTTGTCCGTCAGATCATTACTAAATATGGACATGTTGTTCTTATTTCTCAAATCGCTGAGAAACATTGTTCGAGTATTTTCATCATAACCCACCCCCGATAGAGCCACAGCATCCATAAATTTTGCTTGCGCTATTAATGTTTGATTTTGCGCAAGAAATTCAATTTCACGCCCTATCAATACTGCTAAATCTGTAAAAATAAAGAAAAAAAATTAATTAATAATAAATATTATAAAAAAATTATATATATCATATATATTATATATATTTATACATTTCATTAAAATTATTATGATGATTTAACAAAATATAATGATTATTATTTCATTAATTATTCATTTTTTTTAATCATTATTTTATTATATCTAATTTATGATATAAAATCGAAAATTAATATAAACAGATATACAATTTTTTATCTATTAATTATCTATTATTATAAAATAAATTAAAATTATTTTATCTAATTTTTAATTAATAAAAATAAAATTTATAATTATAATTTTATAAATTTTAGTTTATTCATAAAATGAAATCACTTTCCAAAAATCGTTTTCTCTTTTTTATAAGTAAATAATTATATAAATTTTTAATTATAGTATATTAGTTCATATTATATTTATAGCTTAATAATTTTTTTAAAAAAAGAACTCTTATTTTATAATATTATGAGATATATATATTAAGAGATTTCTTATTTAAGATTTTTAATGTTATCTAAACCTTTTTTTATTCTATAATTTTTTTTTCCATAAAAGATGATATTAGAGGTCAGGTTTTATCTTACTTTTCCTTTTATAATTTAATGTAAATAATAATAAATTTTAGTGAAAAATAATTCGAAATGATTAAAATAAAAAAACGTGAAAGATTTTTCGTTTTTTTTTTAGTAATTCTATAACATTATGATAGCATTCATCATTATCATTTCAAACATTTTAAAAATTATGTATATCTTAATAATTTATATCATATATTATGTTATGAAAGAAGAAAAATATTGATGAATATGATGATCAATGAATAATAATTTGTAATTTATTTTTTATTTTATAGATTATATTTTTTCATTATTTTATTCAAATTAAAAAAATAAAAAAAATTTTAAATAAATAACAAAATAATTTATAATTCATTTTATTATACAAATTACTAAATGATTTATTTCAATTTTTATTGTATGCGAGAATATATTTGAATTAATTCATATAATGCAAACATGAAATATTAATTATGCAATATGAAATATAGTAAGAAATAGATGAAAAGTTCAATTCATTCTGATATTTCTAGAAAGTTCAAACTAGTCTAATAAATTTAACGTTCAAATCAATGCTTCAATGTATAAATATTCAATTCTTTAAGTGTTTTTGACAAATTCATTCGTATGATTGATTTTATTATATCCGAGTAGGTACAAATATAGTTAAACAATAAAATTAAGATTTCATGAACCGCAGATAGCATAATTCTTTGAGTATTTGCATGGTAAGATATCACTTAATTAAGACTTATTAACCTCTTCGATTGCGGTTATTTTGTTGGAAAATTTAAATGTAACTATCATTTCTATAATTAAGAACAAAATCAATATGATAAATTAAAATATAAATATATAACGAAGAATAAAAAAAAAAGAATCGAAAATATTAAAATAAATTTTCTAAAGTAAATTTAAAAAAAAATACAAGATTTATATAAAATCATATCATATATTAAAGAATTAACAAAAAAAGTTTTGAAATTTATATTATTTTGAATTTATTTATTATCTTGATTTTATTTTAATGTGATATATTTCTAATTCATTACAACACATTAGCAATTCAAAATTTTAAAGAAAAAAAATATATATATAATAATAATAATAGAAAAAAAAATTTTTTTTCATTTTAACAAAAATATTATCATACATAAATATTTTATCAAAAATAGATGCATTTTATAAATTTTTCTTGCAAAATTCCATAACTTAATATGTAATCATAATAATGTTATTAAAATTAAAACTTGTTTAACAAAATATTCAACATATATAAAAATATATTTCAACATATATTTCTGGAAATCACGTAATCTTTACGTCACGTATTTATAAATGCAAATATTATACAAATCATAAGAGAATCAATTTCAAATATAGGAAGTTTGATATAAATTCTATAATAATTCAATTTTTTTTTCTAAATTTTTATGTATTTACAATTTTATTAATATATTATTATCACTATTTTTATTATATTTTCAATTTAAACATTTTATTTATAATAATTATAACAGATTGATAAATAAATAATAAATAAATCTTTAAATAAATTTTTTTTTCTAAAAAATAATTTAATCATAGATGATTGATAGATATTTATGTTGAGTCAAGAATCAATTCACAAGTGTATATTCACATGTACTCTTGATTATATTGCGGTTATAAATTAACCTACAAATTAGCGGTACCGATTGATATAGCAAGTTCTCAGGGCTGTATATAGTACACTATTGTAAGATATACACATTATCTATATATATTTTCTGATTTTTTAAAAAAAATATTCATAAGAAAAAAAAAATATATTTTTAATCTTTTTTTCTTTAAATAAAGCATAAGAAAAATTAAAAGAAAAATAAAAACTTATAATTAAAATATCTCCTTTTTCCATATCTATATATATATTATCCATATATATCAAATATTTTATTTTATATTTATATATTTTAATTTTTTAATCGTTTTATATCTTTTATCAAATATAAAGGAATTTTGTCGCACGTGTTTTTACTCTACGCATATGTTTAAGATGTTGCGCGCGCAACTAATATTTAAAAAGTACGCGCCGTAACTATAATATAGAAACTTTGAAAACATATTTTAGAAATCGAATCATAACAATAAATCGTTCTTTTTTTGTTATATATATACATAAATTAAATCGTATACATTTTTAAATATAATCTGTAATTAATATGTTATATAATATATTATATAGTTATAAATAATTTAATATTATGGATAATGCAGAAAAATTAAATAAAAATAAATGGTTAAGATAATTTTACTATAATTTATAATAAATAAAATTTATAAAATTCAACAAAATTTTTTTCTTTTTTTAAATTATTTATTTTAAATATTGAAATATTATTAAATATTTGTTTTAATTATCGAAAAGCATATTATTATGCAAGGCATATTCTTTATATTATTTCATCACCTCTAATTGTAAATAAGAAAATACAATAAAATATGGAAAATACAGTGACAGATTAAATTTTATCTAAATGTTTTATAACGATAAATCGAATGTCGAAGATCATTGAATATTTCTTTCATTGTCGATTGACTTGACAAGAAATGAAACTACGCAATGTCTTCGAATCATGGAATAAACTATTCAAGTTTTTGCAATATAATGAACATACACATTCATAAATATGTTAAATATTTTACTTGCTGATTGAAAATCATTTCCAGTTGACGTACGCACGAATAGAAATTTTATTTGTGCAAGAATAGATAATAAGAGGAAAATTTGTATGTTGTTGACAAATATTTTTCTTTTTTGTTACTATGATATCTGATGGATTAAATATAATAAATATAAATTTAAATATTTATAAAATATTTAAAAGATATTATTTTTCCATATATATTTTTTTAAATGAATTTGTAAAAATTAAAAAAATTTGCATGAAAGTAATTTATAATAACGGTTAGATAATAAGAGCATAAATAATGGTATATCAACGAAAAAAATGAAAAATTATATGCAACGTTGAATTATCTTATATTATTATTTCTAGTTTCAAATTTTTTTCTAACAAATTATCACGAGTGTTATATTTCGCTGTTCTATATAATTCTTATATTCATATTATATATTATATTCATATGAACATACGTCTTGTATATCTCACTTCACAATCGCGACATAAGAATACAGCTATTCAATTTCGTTACATTTGCATTTTGTAAATTTCGTCATGCTTATTTATGATAAATAACTATTATATTAATCTTATTAATGATATAAAAATAAATACAGCAGAAAATTCTTTCTATTTGTCATGCTTGAAAATTATTGGAGATAATTTTTTTTATTGATCTATAAAGATTGAAAATTAATCAATATTTCTGTTATTAAATTAACTTATTATTCTATATCGTTATACATTTTACATAACTGATACATATATGTATATATATATATATATATATATATATATATATATATATATATATATATATATATATATATATATATATATATATATATATATATCAATGCAACGATGAAACTATTTTGTATTCTGTATATATTCTATAAGATTATAAAATTAAACAATTCAAATAATGTTATCAGTTTCATGTATTACGTAATTCAGATTTCACATATCATTGTGTACGCATAATTTTTAAACAGTTTGATATTAGTGATACAATGCACGACGGAACAGTTTTTCTAAATACGCTCGCGAGAACGTACATAAGAATGAGGA